GCAGTGAGGAATCAAGTTGGTTGTCACCAGCAAAATTTGAGCACCTTTTTATAGACCTCGTCGATGGTGAGGGCATCCAGATCGTGATCAAATATGTCTGCGCGAAGTAACTTGTAGGTGTCGTCGGGGATGTTTTCACCAGCATCGATCAAGTGTTGGCGGATCTCCTCTAAAGCTTGGAGCGTTGTATCAGGAGAGCCTGTCGATGTAAGACTAGTGAGATTCTGTAGTGCACCCCAGTTGCCCAACCCATCTACAGAGTGTCAGAGTCAACAATTTCACAAATAGGTCTTCAGCCTTCAGCCTTCAGCCTTTGATTGTAAAATTGAGGGGGAGTGAGAGACTACAGAAGCAGACGTATTTCTATATACGTTAATATCGGTTTACGTCGTTCGGCCCGAGAGAACGTAAGAGTATTTTGAGACTTCTTCTCCGATTGTTCTATTTATAGCACACGGGCCACTGGCTAGCCGAGAGCCGAGGTCCGAGACTGAGTGTAGTAACAGAGAATATGATATATTTATTTCTAGGAAACATATCCGAGTGCTATAGTGTTCTGCATAAGGTTTCTCACACTGATCACATGAGTTTTTACCCTGGCCAACCCAAGTGGTTGAATACTAGTACAAACACCATCAGTATACAACTGAGGGTGAGATCATAAATAAATTCATTCGAACGCACCATTCTTTTACTTATATTCCCCCACATCGCACTCTAACACATGCCTAGGTTAGGCAGAATACATCGGGTCGTGATTGTTGTGGTGAGACTGTCGGCAAGCTTTAGAGGAAAGTGACCGCATTAAATCTTCGTTGGTAGTGTCTCGGCGGATGTGTGAAGGTAGTCAACCGTTGCACCATCGTCTATGAGTAGTGAGATATTTGTGGATTTGGTTGTATTGCGTGTATATTTGACATCCAATGATATAGAGGCAATGATAGCAACTTTGCGATACGGAAAGTTGTTTTTATTCGTACGCTTGCTACATACAGTGGCGACATAATCGTTTATATTAAAACCAGTGCATTGCAGTGAGGTAATAGTGTATTCACGTCCAGTGTGTTTGCACTTGCCACATCCTTTAGGGCAGACGGATGAGGTGTTGATGGTTGGCAAACATAGAATTTCATGACTCGGTCTCCTCTTGTTCCACGTGAATTTTGAATGTCTTTATCATGCGTACGATTTCTTGGAGGGTAGTGTCGGGAGCTGGTGCCGTATATGCTGCATGAGAGATGGCATTGGTGTTGGCTGGTAGAGGGTTGGGATTCAAGTCCCATCTATCTAGGTGATCCACTAAAATTGTGGATAGTGACATTTTATCGGTTCTGGACAGCCATGAGGTGTACATTTCAAGGCTGAGCTTTGTCATTCGTAGATAGTCCGTCGATAAAGGGATTCTGTTGGACTTCAGTTGAAAATGTGGTCTCTTGGGACGCTGCACGAGAGATAGTATCTTCAACTCGGTGGGTCCAGGCTCTAGTTGTTTCGTGAGGGGTATGGGAGAGAGAACGGAGATAGGCGACATTTACGAAGCCATAGGCCTGCTTGGGCTGATAGCGGAATCGGTCCTGAAGAAACTGGAGAAGATTCCATGGATGAGATGCGCGAATGGTCGCTGCAAGGGTAAGGCGGAGCGGTTTGCATAGAGTAGCTACAAGTAGGGCTTTGGATTGGTTATACTCTCCTGTTTCTTTGAGCCCATTGACGAAATCACATGTCCATACAGTATTTTTCTGTGCAGGGGTCCAGTCAGCACGAGGCGTACGGATGACTTGGTCGTATGGCTCATGGGGATCATCTGGAACTATATTGTGAGTTAGGATTAAGGTCCTTAGAGTAGACCTGTGCTGCGGGGGGGGGGGGGGGGGGGGGGGTGTTAGCGATATGACTAAAAGGTAGAAGGGTTGAAATTATTGTCCATAACCTATAGAAATCTCTCTAGTATTTTTTCATAGGCACTTTCACCATGAACACCAATGACACCAAAGTTCCTTCACGAGAGGAATATGACCGCCTTAAAGCTGTCGTGGAAATGCTCCAATCCTATCTCGAATATGAATTGACACCATTGGGACAAAAAAATGAAGGTACGCATTCAGAAACTAAAGGCGTATGAAGATGAATTTGATGCGAGATTGGTACGGGCTGAACACGAGCACATGACCAACCTATTCAACATTGATTTAGTCGGTATCGCCAAGAAAGATGAGATCAAGTGCATTGAATCAAAAATCGAAGAGGGCGAAAAAAGAATCCAGGAGTTGGCTGTAAAATTTGAATCAACTCAAAAGAAAACAAAGGGTGTCGTGGCTGACCTCAAAGCTCTTGTACGGATGCACGAGCGCATGACGATCGATATGGAGAAACAAGAAAGGGCGTTTTCCAGGGAATGTGACACCGTAGAGGCCGCTGCTATGGTGTTCATTCGTGCCCTCAGAAAACGTATGCGTTTTGAAGGAGAGTTTACGGAGTCAACCGACAACTTGGATGTAACTACGAATGAATCATCTGAGTCTCCGGCTATAAGAATAAGCTTGACCATCAAACAACGACCACCGAGACTGGTGCGACCACAGCAACCTCGAATACACTCCCTTTCGCAACGTCAGGAACTATACCTCCAGGAAAATTTGACTTCTAAATAAAAATAAAGGCGGGTTTGCGCACGCGTACTACAACCTCCTGAGCCCATACCCGTCAGCTACTCCAAGCGTGTGGTTTAGCTTGCGCGCAATAGTACACAATATTTTGATTTTTGAAGCCAGCAATTGTGATGTGTTCATCGAAAGCAGATGCGTATGCAATAACTCAGGCAATGAAGACGCAATGGAACACTACAGATATGGGCGAGCCTAGCTGGTTTCTCAAACTCACAATCAATCTGGATACACCGGGCAACGTCAGCATACATCAGGGCCAATACACAAGGGATCTACTGAAGAATTTGACCTAGAATGCAATACATCTCGGGTCCCTTGCATTGGAACTGATCATATTGCTACTGACAAAGACAACCCTACTGAGACATCAAAGCTTATCAACACATTGTAGGATGCTTACGATACTTGGCGGATGGCACGAGACCGGACATATCACTCACAATTAACCTACTGAGACGTCATTTAGTCGCACCGATGGAACACCACTTGCAAGCCGCCAAACGAGTTTTACGATACTTGTCAGGCACACGAAGTCTGGGCACTACATACAGTAAGGATATACCCTTCACACGTACATTTTCAGCTGACAGTGACTACTGTTCAAACTCAGAGGACACAAAATCTACAACGGGAAAAATTAGAATGATAGCAGGTGGACCGTTTTTATGGAGGACGAACTTGCAGAAGACAACAGCACTTTCGACAGCCGAAGCAGAATATGTCGCATGCTCAGATACAACACGAGACGCAGTATGGACACGGCACCTACTTGAAGGAATTGGTCTACCGCAAACATAGCCCACGATCATCGAACAAAATAACAAGTCGTCGATCAAGATAAGTGAGAAATCAAAGTCCTCTTATCACTTCACAAAAGTAAGGACAGTCACAGACGAAGTGCGACTTGTATACACACCAACAACAGAAATATTAAGCGATATGCTTACAAAACCTTTAGACCATAAAAAGTTTATATACGCTCGAGTCAAGATAATGAGCAAGATGTCTGACCTATAGAAGACATATGTACCCGGTGACAACTGTACAGTAAACACAAGTGTAAATTTAACAAGCCGTACATTAAAGAGCATTTAATTTATTCGATATGAATGAAACAATTACGATTATGTTCAGGTGATATAGAACAGATTGCTACTATTGCAATTGCTATAGTCATTCCACTTTTTTGGGGACGCCCATCATAGAAGTGAGGTCTGTGTGTCCATGGACAATAGAAAAGCACTATATAAATATCAATACATATCAGGATGAAACATACGAGACACATGCGAAAATCAATACAAGATATAATATGGGAATCATATACTAATCGCTTATACACATCTGAATAATTCTAAGTCTGAGAGACTTGTACCAGAATGTATTGTACAAAAATCATCCTAAGTGTCTCTATATAAGTCTCAAGATTTTAGCAGTGCGATTACTTACCAGAATTCAAGGAAGAGACGAAAATATTTGAAGTTCCAGATTTATGATCGCAATTTAAATTCAAAGGTCGAAAACTCATGATGAAAAGGCATCTATCGAAAAGTATTCACAAGTCGAACAAACAGCAATGAAGGATCTACCAGGAAGAAACCAAAAGATAAGTATATGTAAATTTGAAAGTACTAGGCAAGTTTATATTTTTCAATATTTTATTGTTGAAGTATTATTCTATTATTACAGTGTTTTTATTCAATCTAAGTTCTTAACAACACCTTCTGTACAAGTGAAAATTACAATTGCCACGAAGTTCTTTATGCACTTTAGTAGTTAGATGCTGTAAGCAAAGAAGTCTTGCATATACAGTAAAACTGTATAATTAGATATCAAACTGGACTAACACTTCATATAGTGAATTGTCTACTATAAGCGTACATAAAAGACCACCAAGTATTATGTCGTTGTGCGGGATGTCTTCTATTGAGAGACACCAGCACGACTAGCACAGCTACCATAATTGTAAAATTCACTTTGTGGTCAGATATACTCTATTTAGGTTGTTTCACGTTTTTAGGTTTATTTGAAAAAGGGTCATAAACTCTGGTTTAGGGTTTATGACCAATTTTATACACATATCAAATATTAGAATATATGGTTCATTTTATATTTCAATAAAGATACAACGTCTCCCCTTGTAAGAGGGGAGTACGTTGAGATATTGTTAACTCGCGTATTTGACTGTATTTTTAACAGGCTTATTAGTTGTACTTTATTGAAGAAAGGTGATAACCGACGTAGTCTAAAGAAGACAGAATTCTGACCCATAATTTTTTCGCTAGGATAAGAGCGTCAATATCAGGACAATGGAGAAACCCCCCAAGAAGTCACATGAGAGAGGGAAATACACCCATAGGACTGTCCACGACAGACCGACAGCTGGGAAGCGAGGATAGCGGGTTCGGTAGCAGTGAACTGAGCCTGCCATCATTGTTGTCAAACTCAGGAAGCGACTCCGAGGTGGGCAACGAAGCAGAAGGATACCCAAATGAAGAAATGACGCCACCACGCGGATCGCGCTGTGAAATGAATCAACCCCTAGACATGAGACGGCAGAGATCAGCCAGATGGTATATCTCTATAACAATAAGTAGTGAAGAGATACAGGAATACACGAATGTGTGGAGGAGACGACAAGCAGGACCTCCAGCAAGGTTACGACGACTAGTGAGTGTACCAGACACACCGAGTATTTGGGGACATGACCATGACGAGGAAATGAACGAAGAACACTGGACAGGGGAAGTTTGCTATGGACAAGGTAAGTCTCTATGGATAACAAGGAGACGTGACTGAAACATAGGTGGAGTCTATTGGCAGATGAGTGTTGCTAGGAAGGTGTGAACATTAGTAATGAACAAATATGAAGTAGTGTACATGAGGTGTGTGATAAGGGATCAGTAGATATTAGCGGTACATATATGGAAGTGAAGCATTGTGTATTGGCCTCGTATAAGTGTAACATACGATAGCAATTAGTTATGAGCAGCATAAGTGTGGAAGTAGAGGTGTGAGAAGACTACCACAAAATTCGATATGAGACACGTAATAGCATCACATTGTGGAGCATGCGCGACAGAACAGCTGTCAGCGAAGAAGTAAGAGGAGCAAGAGATGCAGGATGGATGGAATAGAGAAATAATAGGTAGACAACACGTACGGTCGGGACTAGAATAGTAATAGATTGAACGAGTATGTATACAGAAGAAGCACGTGCGACAATAGGGGGAGCATGAGTCTAAAGCAAAGAGTAATAAAGAAGAGTTACTCCATGCAATTAATCTGCACGAGGAGTAGTGAGTCCATGGACTCTGGGAGTAGGCATGTGTGTCAAGAGAGGTGCCATCCGTTGCATATATAAGCAACAAGTAAATAGGTTAGAGATCAATTATTCTCGACTTAGACATACAAGCACCGTAACCTTACTGCAATGCCGAGCACCCGTAAGAGTCGTCGTCAGCATGGTCTGGAACCCGAGCAACATGTACGTAGTACGAGCCAACTACGAGGTTTCAAGCGTAGAGCTGGCCTTTCTCAAGAGGGAGACCAAGGGTTGTCTGAGGACCAGCGGAGGGGAGGCAGACGAACCATTTCGGACGAATCAGACAATGCTGCAGAAAGCCCTAGTGGTTGAGACAAGGCGAGGGTTCAGCACCGCCGAGCAAAAGCAACGAGTCGTCACCTCCGTGCGCCCACACCTGGCGAGGTAGTGATAGGGGACAGAAGCGTCAGAATGACGGTGGCAGGATTCTACACCAACAAGGACAGACTCGACCTCGTCAGAAGCGACGCCCTTACCGTCAGAGCCGTCAATACGTGAGCAATGCGCAATCCAAGACGGATCAGCTACTGCAGAAACAGCAAGAATTGCTGGGGAAATATGAGCAGCGGCTGCAACACTTTCAGCGGCAGGCAGAGAGACCTCGAAGAGGTCCGACCACTATTTCTTCAGATCCGGGCCAGGAGGAGGAGAGTATGAGTACCAGTCAGCCGCCGGAGCCAGTTGGGAAGAATGTACGTTAAGAGTTCAGGATTCCAGGCAGTGCGGCTAGATACGGAGTCGGATACCCAGCCGCAGCCCAAGGGATGGGACCTCACGACTCAGATACACCACGGGCAGCGATCTCCCAACAATATTTTGTACATGCGCAACAAAGAGCAGCACAAGACCCTCATGGGCCGGAGGCACTGGACAACCGTCGTGATCGATTTTCCGAGACGGTTCATTCTCCGGAGGCTCTACGAGACTCGATACCCGAACACACGGTGTTATCGACCCCTACGACACAGGTATCCCAACTAACGGCTGGTGACAAGGTGACCCCTCCGACACCGGAGAGTATTGCGGCGGATCGCCAAGCGCTTCATGCGCGGATGCTCCGACTATCGAAATAATTGTGCAGAGCGGTTGAGGCAGATGATCTTCCACGTGCCGAGGCGCTGAGAGGAGTGTTAGAAACCTTACGAGCCACACATGACTCGCGCCCCGTAACCAAGCACGAACCACGAGTACCGAGAAGCAGGCCTGAATGGCCGTCGAACCGATACCAACTACACAATGTATTAGAGAGAGATACTAAAGGAGCCCTGGTGGAGGCGCTAAAGAACGCGCAGATCTCGGGCCTAGACACGGCGTGGAGTTTGCGGTGGTTTTATAAGGTTCTGAGCCACTTCAAGGCCGAGCAGTCTACTTTAGATTATATCAAGTCCAACCAACGTTTGGTCAATTGGACTCCAGAGTTGCAGATAACACAGATCTGCTCTCACGAAACTCAAGCGACAGTCGACCCCACATTCCGTAAGTTGGCGAAGGGACACTCTCGGGTGTCAAATGTACCTATTATGGCACAGATGACACAATTAATGGAGAATCACAGACGTGCCCACCAATGCAGCCAGACGGATGCGGAATTCAAGCAAAGCCTTTTGAACCACTGCATTGTGCAGTTGTTGGAAGACTCTCTTGGGTCTCGTACATATGAGCGGACGCTACAACTGCACACCAAGTGGCACTTGATGGAGACTCACGAATTGTTGCAGCTTCTCAGTCCTGATATTCAAGAAGCACAGACAAGAACTACGGCGTGAATGTCGAACCGACGACCACATACCAACGATCATCAACGGGGGGATGGGACGGTAACACGTATACCGTATATGACCACTCCACGAGGGACACAACAGTGGCAACAGCGCACGCCACCGTCGAATACAACAACAACATGTGGCGGGTGCCAGGCACAAGCACCACCAGGGTTGAGGCACATTCCTCGCTGTCATAACTATAGGGCAGCAACCCAGGACAACCGTGGCCGCACGTTAGAGACACATCAACGTGGCCCGGGACCGCATAGTGCAGTAACACCTTCCTCAACGATAACACCATCTGTTCCACCGGTACGAAGCGCGGGAGGCGACAACACGACGCAACCGCAAGTCCATAGTCTCACAGACACGTCGGCGTGGGAAACCCCACCTACCGCCACGGATCTACATCTTGGAGCGCTGCTTTTTGGTGATATGGGGGAGAGTGATCCGATAGGAGACGATAAGATATCCCCAGAATGGTCTCCCATATCAGATCAACCTTGAGATATCAGGGTGTCTGACTATGATATAGCTTTGACGTTTGCGTATATAGGATACTCGGTACAGGCGATAAAAGACCCACTGTTAACAGCAGACCAACGGGTGTATGTTTAAGTTCAGTTGAATGGTCGCACATTCCGAGCCCTGGTAGATTCAGGCGCAAATAGAGGTTGTATTTCGCAGGCATCCGTAGAGGCGCTAGGCCTTCCGATATCTCCGGCTCCTCCTAATTCATACATTTATTTGGCGGATCAAGCGGCGCGTACTCGGCGACTGGGGACGACGAAGAGCATCCCAATTAGATATGGAACGGCTATAACTAACGGTTCCTTGTAGCTCATGAATCTACCGGTAGGCATCGATGTGATCATCGGGGTAGATATTATGCCGGGCTTAGGGTTATACTTAGGAGGACTACAATCTCCATTAGCACCTACAGATCCGAAAGAGTTGGACAACATACTGAAGCCGATCACTAGACAGCGAGCCCCAGATTTAACCGAGCCTGACGGCATCCGGGAGGATCTGAAATCAGTATTAGAGGCGAATGCAGCGATTACAGATAGCGCACGATGCCGATTGGAAGGAAGTGAGGTGGCCATACCGGTCACTAGAGACCAAACAATGAACATGCGTCGTTCAACTAAGAACTTTGTGTCAGACCGATGGATACCATACGTGGAAGAACAGGTGCAGAAGTGGCTACGAGATTTAGTTATTATCAAGCGAACTACTCCAACTACAGTGAACCTACCACTATTAGCGGTACCGACCTTTGATAGCGAGGGGAATGTTAAGAAGGTACGAGTTTGCCTCTATTGTTCTCAGATATTAAAGTATCTTGAAGTGTTTTAAGTTAAGTTTTAAGTGAATAGTTGTGATTTATTTGATTCGAGTCCCTGCTTTTATATGCGTTGTACTCGTAATCCTTGAGCCATTGAAAAACACCTCTTAAGGTGAAAAATATTCTCAACTTAATCTATGATCCAATCCAAAGGCAGCGTCGCCACGTCTTCAACTGATCGTGGCTTCCATTGTAATCTTTGGCCTTATACGTTTAGATTGTACTCCTCCGATATTTAGGGATGCCCTTATGCCCATCAGAGATTTTCTATAATGATGTTTCCGTACTCCCGGCACTTCGGCTCCGAGATTAATTTCCATCTGTAATATTACTGTGTCCCTCTCTGAGCTTAGATTCTCTCCTTGCTTGATGCTGGGATAAACCTTGTTGATCCTCCGGTGTTTGACCGTAGTTTTATGCTTGGTAAACAATCCTGGTTTACTGTGATCAATAGCCTCGATATGCGAGCAGTCAATGGTCTGATCCCAGGCGACCAATTCCTACTCCCCATGGTGACGAGATCATATCGCGGTTACAGAGCAAGAAGTATTATACAACATTGGATATCTCAGCAGCGTATCATCGTTTGCCGATTCACCCAGATTCTCAGTACTTGTTTAGCTTCACCCATGGGCGCCACCAATATTCATTTACATCGGCGCCATTCGGTCTGCACGTTCTCACCCAGCAATTCCAACGGACGTTGAGCACAATTTTGGATGGCCTCCCCGTACACCATTACATCGACGATATAGTGATAGCGGGTGACGACTATGAAGAGCATAATGCAACGGTTACAGAGGTGATTCGCCGTCTTACGTATCATAGCTTCAAGTTGAATCCTGATACATGTCACTTTGCGATCAGGGAGGTAATGATTCTCGGAAAGAAGGTGTCAGCAGCAGGCATTGATATTGATTTCGAGAAGCAGGCGAAGCTGCTGGATTGGCCGAACCCGCAGCGTTACAAGGATATAGCATCGGCGTTGGGTCTTACGAACTTCATCCACGAACATCTTCCAAATTTTGCGCACATAGTAGCACCACTCCGAGAGTTCTGTAAGCTGAAACCTAACGAGTTGATTGGGACAAGGTGGGGGCCTCGCCACGCAGAGGCGTTGGCGGCTATGAAGACGGCGATAGTTAACGCGGTGGCTCTCCACTTCCCAGTGGAGGATATTCCCCTGAACTTGGAGACAGTTGCCAGTGACTATGGCATCGGAGGGGCTTTGTTCCAGTGGGTGGAGGGAAAGAAGCACTACTTTATGTTCTTCAGTAAGACTCTTAATCAGGCACAACAGAATTACGCCACGCCAATGAAGGAACTCTTGGCGCTTGTATATGGGCTTGCACACTTCCTCGAATTCCTCGACGGGTAATGATTCGCAGCATTCACGGACCATAAGGCGCTAGTGTATATGAATACACAGTTGAAGTTGGATCCGATGCTACAACGCTGGCACCACATTATAGCCCCGTTTAACTTCACTATATCACACATTCCGGGAGAGAAGAATGTTCTCCCTGATATGTTGAGTAGGGTCCACGAGGGGACAGCGGAAGCCGATATACCAGAAGTGATGTATGTTGATTGTTGGCAACTGTTCCCAAACTACTTCACACAAGCCCAGCAGAGTTTCGTCTCAAACGATATGAATGTGTTCGCGACGCCGGGGGATGCGCAACTCCCTCGGTTTTGGACACACGTCGAGCGGGGGGGGGGCGCCTTCCAGCACAATTGGGCGTTGCTTAATGGGTGGATGAATCCACCGTGGAAGCTCATCCATAAGATGTTTAGGAAGATTAAGGCCGACGGGGCGTCGGCAACTGTATGTGTTCCGTGGGCCCCTCGAGCGCCGTGGTTCACTTTATCCAAGTCCTTGCTGCAGTCTGAGCCGGTGTTAGTACCGAGGACACCGCACACGTTCTTGAAACATGCTAAGTACGCATGTAGTAAAACCCCGTGGGGCCATACAGTGATTGCTAGAATTGGACCCCCCAATGGTTTTCTGCTGCCGGAGTCGTTTCAACAGCGATTAGGTTTTACCGAACCACGATATGTACCTCAACCTCGTTGTTTAGATACAGCACGGGATTTTTCAGTCGCAATCACGAGTGCGGAGGCCCAACCAGCATTTGCCAATGCGTCACTGGACGAACAACAGCGACGCACACAACTCACACAAGCACAACATGAACAAGGACACCACGGGGCAGCGGACACAGTGGCGCAACTTCAACAGAATGGCCACATATGGCCGGGAGCTCTAGAGTTAGTGACGGAAGTTAAGCGTCAATGCAGTGCGTGTTTGGGACAGGATACTCTGAAGAAAGGGTTTCCCCCCGTGGTAAGTATAGACGCCCGTTACCCATGAGATCACATTCAGGTGGATTACATCCCGATGCCGATTGTATTCCGCCGGAAGAATATACATGTCCTACACGTTCTGGACATAGCCTCGGGGTACTTGATTCTCCGCGCCACACCCGACAAATCCAAGGAGTCCCCGGCGCAGACGTTGTTGGCAATCTTCGACGAACATGGGTTCCCTAGGAAGATGCAGTCGGACATGGGAACCGAATTTGTTAACGGAGTTGTGGCCCTTATCGTCCGGGAAGTCGTGATGATGCACAAACTCTCACCGCCGTATCGTCCGCAAGTGTTAGGAGCTACAGAACGTCGGCATAAAGAAATCATCCGGTCCATCCGGATTTGCTGTGAGGCTACACCACACGCATGGGATGAGCGCCTCCCATTCACGATGCTGTACCAGAACTTAAGGGTGTCCCGTCGGCATAAGAGTGCTCCGTTTAGTGTATACTTCGGTCGCCGGCATGTCCCATTTTCGGATTTTACCGACGATACCCCAGACCACCAGCCGGTTACGAACGAAACATGAGCTCACCGCCTAGATCGCCTACAGGATACGATCTTACCAACGTTGCACAGGCTGACGATACGGTACACGGACACTTTGACGAGGAACTTCGACCGACTTCATGCGGACGATCTGGTGCACTTTGAGGAAGGCGATGTGGTGATGGTCAAATCGGAAGGGCGCACATCGAAGGCCATGCGCCCTTTGTTTGGTCCATATGTAATTAAAGGCCGGAACGGACAGGGGTACGACCTTGCTCATCGGGATGGTTCGATTCCATCGGAATTCGGTCCATAGGAGTATGGATCCACCCCTGGATGAGAGTCTATGGCGTGAGGACGAGTCTGCGTTCCGACACATCATTCAACATCGCATGAATAATGACACGGGTCAGACGGAGTACCTAGTGCGCTGGCGTGAAGGGGATCCTACCTGAGAAACGGCCGAGGCGTTTGACGATGCTAATGACATCGTGGCATACCATAAGGATACACAAACACGCTCTCGCAAGCGCCGGCGGGAAGCAGTGTAACAAGTATGGTTGTGCAGCATTTTTATTGTTTTTTTCTTTAATTTTCGATATTTCAAGTTATCGACCTTGCTCGCGTGGTTGTTACGAACCGGGCCCTCTAGCTCTCTGAGGTAGAATGACAGCCGATGCTCTAGCTCTCTGAGGGTAAATGCCAGCGGATCCCTCTTGTTCGTGGAGGTTAAACCAGCGTCCTATGTATAGCGAGTAGATCTTCACTGGCACACGTACCGTGCTTCCCCAATTTTATACACATGTCAAATATTAGAACCTATGGTTCATTTTATAATTCAATAAAGATACAACGTCTCCCCTTATAAGAGGGAAGTACGATGAGATATTGTTAACTTGCGTATTTGACTACAACTTTCATGTACAGAATCAGATCAGGCTTCATCCCTCAGTGCCGAACGCACCTCACTTCAGCAAAAAATTGCCTAGCATTTAAAATGCCCAGGTATAAATATCAATGGATAGTATACCTTCCATCTAGTCTGAATCAGTATTTCAAGTTCAATTTTGTAACCTTTTAGCGTAAAGTGATTGGTTCCTAAACCCTAAAAACAACCCATACCAAATTTTTGCTGACAACATGGTATGTTATACGTATACGCTTCAATTTGAAAACGTGTTTACGTTTTAACACTCCATCAACTAATATGACTGTGAGTCTGTGGCTCTCACAGTGTCAGTGTCACACTTGCAAATTTGAAATTTCAAACTCCAATCTTTTGAACAACAAGTGTATCCTAAATTGTCGGATTAAGTTTATTTACTTTCATCAAACTTAAACATTGTACAATTTTCCAAGTTATATCTCAGATATTCCATATCACAGATTTGAGATTCCAAGAACTTGGACAACCTTGAAGCGGATACAACTTTGATAAATTGGGGGGGGGTATTACCGGGTCACCAATGAAGGTCCAATATAAGCGTAGTAAAACCATACGGAGCTTGTATTAGACAACATAAAATACAACATAAAATATAAATGGGGTTTTCTTTAATAGGGGGGTTTTTCCCCTGTTTATGAATTAATCATGACAGCAATAATTCTTAGTATAAATGCCTTGAGCAGGCACCACAATAGAGTACTGCTTCTAAGCTCTTATAATTGACAGTCCAACAGTAAGGTAGGATTAAGGTCCTTAGAGTAGACCTGTGCTGCGGCCATGTCGAGATCCGCTTGCCAGTCATCGAAATTGTATCCATCTTCAGCGAGAATGGACCAAGTAGTAGGGGGGGGGGATGCTAGCGATATGTGAGTTTAAAATCATAGTGACTAAAAGGTAGGAGGGTTCAAATTATTTCCCTAACCTATAGAAACCTATCTAGTATTCTTTAATTAGAACTGAACTTTACCTAATATTTCCTAAATTATTAATAAAAAACTAATATCCTATAAACTGGAGTAGAAAGCTTGGAAAGTTTTGTGCTCTACAATTTTTGCAAATTATTCATACTCTGGTTTTTTTGTTTTTGTTTTCTTTTGGGGGGAAATTAGCGCTCGATTAAAAAGCTGATGTATTTTTAAAATTTTATCATTTCACTCGCATTCACGAGGAAACATGTTTCAAAATCTCGTTTATCTTTACTACTCGTCGAAGTACTGTACTGCTCGTGAATTTATAAAATATTCTCGATTTCCACTCGAGCTATTTAAAAACTCGTAAAACAAATGGCACCAATTCATAAACTGTACATTTAAGATTTTTGATACAGCTATTTGTTATACTTCTAGATTACAAAGCGGTCTTTGATTTCAGCTTCTCGAATGTCAAACACAGCCCTCTTTCAAAATCTACATAGTATGACCTTAGAGGGCGTGGATTATAAGTGTAAATTAACTTCCCAGTGCTCTCAATCATGTTTGTATTTCAAAGCTATGCTTTGTTGTAAAACTACTTTTGAAGCTATGGTAAATACGCACTGTCTTCACATTCCACACGACAAAAAGAACAAAGATAAACAAGAGTTTCGTTAGTAGATGATTTTCTACCAATACAGAAGTAGCTCAAAACCGGTGATCTGGACAAAAAAAAACAGAAACCAAAGCATTGAAGCGAAGCCGACTGTGTCGTCTGTGGTTCGTCGTCGAGATAATCCTGATTATCTCAAGTGCATGCGCAAAGGTGAAGTAAAAAGGCTTGCTATTTGCACGATCAATATTCAACGTAGTAGCGAAATTATGGATATTGAGCATCGCTCTCGACATGACATGCCCTTGAATGTGAAGGACATGGAAAAGGGCACCCAATATGATTGCGACAGCCGGGATACAAAATCAATCACTACACATAATGCGAGCGTCGATAATGTACCCGATGCACTACATACGACCTTGGCTGAAGTTGGACGTGTTGCAAAACGCAGTTTGCGATGGAATTCGGCGGCGGATGAACAATGACCCCAAAATTCGATCATTGTGGAATATGCCTACGGACTAGATGGATGTTTTATTATTTCCCGCGGAGAATATTTCTTCTATCTTCACAGATAATTGAACAATCGCTCCTCAACAATCAGTTTTATAATCGATTTGGAGCGGTATGGAATATATAATGAATATATTCGTGGAGATACGTCAAGTGTGTCTTGAGCATCTTTCTAAAGGCCAAACTACTGGTTTCGCTCCATTCAAAAAAGTATTTCGTCAACTTCTCCAGCTCATTTACGGAGTCAATGGGCTGTAGATATAGATTACTCTGACCATAACCCTTGCAATGGTTCCTGATTGTAATCGGTATCAAGTAATGTATATGATTAACTCTGAATCAACTTGAAATAAAGGTACATTTATGGATTTAATGTACTTTCATCACACAGAGTTTGCAAACAAAAAGTGACTCAATTGTCTTCAAGAGCTTTCAATTTCTGCATCCTTTTGGCAAACTCCTCCGATGCATAATTTTTGGGTGTCGGGAAGAGAGATTGATATCTGGCTGGAACCTCTTTCATACGATATGTACACAGTGCTGTCACGGCATATATTACGCACAGTTTATATTGTTAGTTCTCTGGTTTTAATCAATTTTGTATATCATATGGCGTACTTTCTTGATGTACATGAACATGAACGCCAAATTCAGATGTATGGAACCGTTGGAAACACTATTATTACCTCTAACATGCCCGTGATTGGATTTTCCTTTCTTGGATTCCACCCTGAAGCCACTTATTTCTCTCACCCACTGACAGTAATCTTTCAACATGGTGTCGGTATGTATGCCTACTATACCTGCCCGACTTAGATATCAATTGATTGACTTCTCCCATACACACCAATCGAGTTCTATTTCAGATCTGATATTTTATTGTGCTACATCTTCCTGCATCCTTCAATGAATTGTGCCTGTGCGGTGCCCATCAAACAATTATACATTTGACAGCAAAAAATACATAATTTAATCTAAGCGAGAAAGCACCTTTCAACATGGTGTCGGTATGTATGCCTACTATACCTGCCCGACTTAGATATCAATTGATTGACTTCTCCCATACACACCAATCGAGTTCTATTTCAGATCTGATATTTTATTGTGCTACATCTTCCTGCATCCTTCAACGAATTGTGCCTGTGCGGTGCCCATCAAACAATTATACATTTGACAGCAAAAAATACATAATTTAATCTAAGCGAGAAAGCACCATCTCATAACCATGGCCAACTTTATTCCATGTTGTTTATCGTCCACTTTTACTTGCACGTATGAAATCCAAGAATCGAGAAAGTCAGTGAAGGACACTAATACTCGCGCAGGTTTCAGCTCTATTACATGGCTGAACGTATTTACACTTAACTCGGAATATCGACGACGGGAAACGGCTCGAGGGAAATGTCCGAAAAATACTTATAAAGGAGATCGGTCGGATCGGCCGGTGCCAAAAATCATATGGATTGGTGTACGACAAGCGATCTCACCAGAAACGCCTTGATATAGTGCGTGCAACTCGCGCGACAATTGCGCGATTGCGAACAAAAACTTAGAGCCGGTGAAAACTTAGAATTCGGCACTTTTATTATTATTTTTTTATCCAAACATGAAAATGCCTTACTTCTTGTTTTTTTATTAAAGTCTGAAAGAACTACACAGGTGCGTTTTTGCGCACGGTTTAGGACTTTTTTCGGTAATCGTGATCGGGGTGCGCGCGCCTTAGCGATCTTAAGCCTGCAATCGTTGTACGCGGGCGTCGCGAATCACCGTTTGATGTAATTGGTTGCTAACACACAAATCTTTAAAGAGACTCATATCAACAGCATTTATGACGTTGATTCCGTCAACAGTATCTCGCGGAGATAATGTGGAAATATCGAGGAGCTCTTCGATTCGATCTATTGCTCGTAGTGCATTCTTCTCTCGTTCCGCCATGAAATTAAATATAAAAGTATAGCTTCCAGTCGTATAATGAGCGTGATCGTCATGCTCATGTACACCACAGCTTCATCTGGCGTACTGAATATATTCTGATAAACACGTAAACTCGTCTCCTTTTCATTCTATACCAAAATAAAAAAAATAGGAGACATGATTATTGTGAACACAGCTTTCGATTCCAAGCCTCATCCTTTTTCTCCACCTTGCCACGATACTCGGCTAGTGAGAGACTACAGTTCTCAGGCCAGATTTTACAGCAAGAAACCATCTTTGATATATAGAAGTCATCAGAGTTAGCTTACTCCCGAGAGCTAATCAAGTTGCTCAAATTACTCTCAAGAGTTGAGTTATTACTTAACCGACTTCCGAGATCAGATTAAGTTTCTCAACCGATTCCCGAGTGTGAATTAAGCCTGTCAACCGCAACATTCTAATAATAACTGCGGTTCTATGTGAGTCACAACCTATGCGGAAAGACGTCATGCGATCAGCGTGAGATTTAGCTGCAGATAAGTTGAAATATAAAAGCATTGAAGTGTTAAAGTGTTCCGCATAAGGTTTCTCATACTGACCATATGAGTTTTTACCCTGGCCAGCCCAAGCGGCTGAACACCAGCTCAAACACCTTAGGTATAAAACCAAAGGTGATGAAGTCGGAAATAAATATATACATTTGCAATTTTTTTAAAGTCTACTACATTGCACTCTAGGTCACTCTGATCTCGCGATATCAATATGCCTACTGTGAACTCTAAAGAAATTAAGACCACCTCTATTCTCGAATCGAAGGTCGACTGGCTTCCTTGGAAACCCCAGACAATTATATCCGTGAATTGTGAAGGAATCCCAACAATATTGACCGATCCGACCCCGTCTAGAGGGAACCGATGGACACCCAAGGAAATCGCTGAGGCTTATCGGATTATCAACCGCATCTTATCTCCGTTACTGCAGACGGAGATCAGCCAACTCATTGATAAGCCGTGGGAAGCTTTTGCCGCACTGAAACGCAAGTTTGAGGCCCTGACCGAAGATGATATCCGGACATTAGAAGGAAAACTGAACCGTATCACGCAAGAACGGAACGAATCTTACGCCAGCCTTATCAGTCGTCTCAACACGGCATTTGTGAAATTCAAGAACGCCGGAGGTACGAAGTCTAACAACAGCCTATGTGCTATTCTACGGCAGGCTGTAAACGACGATAATCAGACTGTCAAGATTACGTTGAAGACACCCGCTATGATGGCATGTCGTATGATGAGCTCACCACGTATCTCATCACATTGGATCCAGATGAAAGTGACCCATCAACCGTTGTGCACGGTGCGCATGCAGTTATACCGACAGGAAATTGTGCACTCTGCAACAATCGTGGACATTCCATCGGGCAATGTCGTACGCTACAAGCGCTAATTAAATCATATGTTGCTGGTAACCCACATAATCAGGGTCGTGACCAATCTGGTCCTCGTCATGACATGAGAGACTACAGATTTAAGTCCAAGAACAATGACAAACATCGCCGATCTGATTCGAATCGTGACAACCGTACTCATGTGGAACAGTACAACAGAAACAACAGCTACCAATACCGCTACGATAATCACGATGAACAGGACCGACAGGACTACCGAGTAGACAGGTACAATCAACGCGACTACAACGATGGTAGATATTCACGAGATACCCAACGTGCACAAGACATTGACAGAACATACAGATCCCAGAGCAATCGACGCCAAGCTCAGGAAGGTAGACAAGACAAAGCTATGTCAGCACAAGTATCTGATGACCAGCTACCTGCAAACAGACAGATTGTATTCTCCACAATTAACCCTACAATCGACAACAAGGAGGTGAATGATCAGTCAGACAGAGATTCCAGAGGTGGATACTGACTAGCTTGCGATAGTTGTACCACCATACACGTACTTCCCTATAAGTACCACAAACATCACCTCGTCAGCAACATGCGTATTAATGACCAGGGTATGGTACAATCGTTTATCCGAAGTATGTAGCTCAGCTAGGAAACTTAGGGGACGTACTCATTGATAAGACAGTTAAAACTGCACTACTAAGTATCAGCCTACTCTCAGCGCGACAATATTCATTTGAATTCACCAACAACATGATGTACATATTACTACCAAGCTTCGGAACCATAACTGTACATGAAAAGCACAGAATATACTGTGTACACATCGACGACATAGCTATAACTACAGTGGAACCATCGCTGGAGAAAGCCAACCAGATTTCATGGCACAACAGGCTCGCGCACCCCAGCTACGTCCCAAAAGATTTACCATACATAAGGCAACCAGAGGAACGATGCAAAGCATGCACTATTGCTAAGAAGAAGAAGAATAATACAAACAAGGAACGACAGCGCGAACCTACTACAGAGCCTCTCGAGTAAGTCTTCGTGGACATAATAGGACCGTTCGTAACGTCAATAGGATCCAACGCCCACTCTGTATCAATCATAGACGTTTTTTCTAGCATGGCCAAAGAGTATACGATCCGCGATCTGAAAGCGACAAATTTTTTGGATGCTATGTTACACACCTTCGATGAATGGTACATCTTAAGTCATCGCCGAGTTCAGTGCATACAAATGGATCGAGGCTCACAGTTTACAACAAACGTAACGAGGCGCATGCTTGCGTATTTGGGATACTGCTCTGTAAGATTCGGTCTCCCAAGGCGATATTAACGCCTTAGAATAAATAAACGCGTAGGTAAATTCTAAGTATCGTGAAAATATCAAAGCAAATAAACGAAATGAGACTTTTAGTAAAGTTATGTATGCCTCGTGAAAACAGCAATACTCTGAGGGATTGTGAGGCTGAGACATTGCCTATATATAATCCTCTCAGTACTGTTTCCGCCGAAGGGATTTTATTTAGTGTTTCGTTGTCGCTCTATTAGAAACTATGGTATGTTTCACGGGGGCGAATCCGAGAGACTCATAAAATCATATCTTTAGAATAAATAAACAAATATAAAATAAAAATACTCTTGATGTCTTTAGTTATTGTCTTAACCAATAACTTGCCACAACCAAGAATTTCCGACTTAGCCTTCATCAGACTGGCACATCTTGTTGGCTGATCGGAGGATCAACTAGGTAACGTTAATAGTCTCTAGAAACCTATATTCGGTTGAGCCATCTCGCTACCAAAGTGTTCAGATATAAATAAAGTTGGAAAGTAAATAAAGTTCTATTAATAGAACTAGACAAACTCTTTATGTTTGGTATTTTACTGAGGCCTTTTAATGGCCTCGTCCAAATATCTGATATGCAAAATGGAAACGGTATTAATTAATAAAACAATTAAAAAAATCATTTTAGGAAACTTAAGTTGCTCGTGCTATTAAGAGTACATTTAGGAAACTTAAGTTCCTCGTACTATCAAGAGTACATTTAGGAAACTTAAGTTC